CTATTTCTCGTCCAGTAAACATGTTTGGCCCCTTTCTCAAAAATAAGGTGGCTGAGTGTGTTTGTAGTTGTGGCAGTATCTTCTAATCTATTCCATTGATCTTCAGGTCTGTTTTTATTCCAGTACCATGCTGACTTTATTACAGTTACTTTGTGGTATAATCTCGTCATGATGCCTCCTGCCTTATCACTGTTGCCCACTACTGCCTTTGCTAATCTTAGTCTCTTCTGGTTCCAGATGAATTTTAGGAATGACTTCTCTAGATTGGGGAGATATGTTAATGATATTTTGATTGGAATTGCATTAAATCTAGCAATTTTGAGAGGATGGCCAATTTCACAATGTTTTTTCTCCTATCCATAAAGAAGAAATGTCTTCCCATTTTCTGAGACCCTCTTTGATTTCTTCTTTCAGAGTACTTTAATTTTCACTGAATAGATCTTTTACTTCCTTAGTTAGATTGACTCCTAAGTATTTTTTATGCTATTGTGAAGGATGTGGTTTCTCTTATTTCTATCTCAGTGAGTTTGTTATTTGTATACAGGAATGCTATCAAGTTTTGAGGGTTGCCTTTGTATCCAGCTACATTACTGAATTTGGTTATTATATCTAGAAATATTTCAATGAAGTTTTGAGGATCTTCTATCTAGAATATCATGTCATCTTTAAATAATGATAATTTAACTTCTTTTCCTGCCCTTATTCCTTTTATTTCTCTCTCTTGTCTAATTGCTCTGGCTAATATTTTCAGCACTATATTGAAAAGGAGTGGTAATAATGGACATCCTTCTCTTGTGGATTTAAAATGAAAACTTTTAGTTTCTCACCATTTAATATGATGCTGGCTGTTGATTTATCATAGATAACTTTTATTTAATTGGGGTAAAGACCATCTATTCCAATTTTCCATAAGGTTCTTATAATGCCATAGAGTTCTTATAATGAATGTGTGTTGGACTTTATCAAAGGCTTTTTCTACATCTGTTCAAATCATCATGTAATTCTTGCCTTTGGCTCTATTGATATAGTACATTATGTTTATTGATTTGTTTTTGTTGAACTATCCCTTAATTCCTGGGATGAATCCCACTTGTTCATGATGCATAATCTACTTGATGACTTGGTGCATTCTGTTTTCCAGTATTTTATTGAGAATTTTCCCATCTATGTTCATTAGGGAGACGGGTTCTCTCTTTTGTTTGGGTCTTTCTCTCATTTTGGTATTGGGGTTACATGCACTTCCAGGAGTGATTTAGGGAAAATTGCTTCCCTTTCAATTTCATTGAAGAGTTTGAGAAGTGTTATCAATAAGTATTCCTTAAATGTCTTGTAGAATTCAGTGGTGCATACATCAGGACCTGGGACTTTCTTTGTTGATAAGGTTCTAATTATATTCTCAGTTTCATTCACTAAAGTTGGGTCATTCAGCAGGTTTACATCTTCTTGATCCAGCTTTGGTAATTCATACGTTTCTAAGGATCTGTTCATTTCTTCTGTGTTATTGAACCTACGAGAGTAAAGGTTTTTGAAGTAGAGGTTGATGATCTTCTGTATTTCCACAGGGTCTGTAGTGATTTCACCCTTTGCATTCCATGTTGAATGAATTTGAGTTTTTTCCTTCCTTATAAAATTAAGTTGGCTAGGGGCTTATTAATTGTATTTATTCATTCAAAGAACCAACTCTTTGATTAATTCTTTGTATTGTGTTCTCAGTTTCTATTGCATTAATTTATGCTCTGATCTTTATAATTTCCTCCCTTCTTTAGGCTTTGTCTTGACTTGCTCTTCTTTTTCTCTTTGGATACTTCTTGGTTTGAAGTTCCCATTGTCTGCAAACAGAATAGCTACTCCCACTTTTTTTTTTTTTTTTTTTTTTTTTTTTTTTGGTTCATGTTGCATGAAGTATTGTTTTCCATCCTTTGACTTTCAGTCTATGAGTCTCCTTTTGGGTTAGATGTGTTTCTTGTAGACAGCATACGGTTGGATGTTGTTTCTTGACCCATTCTGCCAGTCTATTTCTTTTAATTGGTGAATTGAGGCCATTTACATTAATGGTCATAACTGATATATATTGGTTTATTTTTGACATGTTATCTTTGTGCTGTTGCTTCTTTACCTTTCCACTCTGTTTAATTGTCTGCCTTGCTTAGTGTGTGGTTTTGTTTGTTTGTTTGTTTGTTTGTTTTGGTTTTTTTTTTTTTTTTTTTTTTCCTATGTGTATCTAGACTGTTTTTCAGTATTCTTTGCAGGTTTGGTTTGTTGATCATGAAGTTCTTCAGCTGTTCTTTGTCATGGAAGTATCTTATTTCTCCATCACTTTTGAAGTTTTTCAGGGTACATCAATCTGGGTTGGAAGTCATTTTCCTTTAGGACTTGAAATACTTCACTCTGTTCTTTTTGATTTGTTTGTGTTGATAAGTCTGTTGTGATTCTAATAAGCTTTCCTTTATAGTAATCTGTCTCTTCACTCTAACAGCTTTTAATATTCTGTTGTTATGTTGAATTTCATGGATGTCGATTACTACATGTCTGGGTGAAAGTTTATTTTGGTTATGGCTAATTGGAGTTCTATATTCTTCACTTATCTGAATGTCGGTTTCCTCTGCCATGTTTGGGAAATTTTCAGCTATCACTTCTATAAATAGTCTCTTTATATTGTTTCTGTTGTCACCTTTTTCAATTGTAACTATCAGTCTTCTATTGTTTATCCTTGCATCATCTTGCAACTGTTGAATTGTTATTTCCTGATTCCTTGTTATTTTTAAAAGATCTTTCCTTTCCTGTTCACTAGCTGTAATCTTGTCTTCAAGGTCTGAAAGTCTATCTTCACATTCATTGAGGAGGTTTTGCCAACTTTCAATGGAATTTTTGATTTCCTGGATATCTCTTTGAAACTGTTTCGTGCATTTTGTTTCTTTCTTATATTGTTTGTTCATGGTTTCCATGTTTTTGTAGTATTCCTCAATTTTTTAACTATATATTCTTTAGATGTGTTCAACATTTCTATTAGTATTTTTATCATTTCTTGTTTTACCTGTGAGATTATTTCTGACCTGAGTTCCTTTACAGCTTCATGGAATTGTTTTTTTTATTTCAGCTGCTATTATTTCAGATATATGTCTTACATTTTCTTCTGTGTCCATGTCTCCTAAGCTTGCTTGGGATGAGATGGGCATTTGAGATTGCATTTTGCTCTTTCATTTTGTCATTTTCCTGTATTGCCCTAGGAAAGCCAAATGTAAGGTCTCAGTTGCTTCCTGGGTTGAAGATATCTGTCCATACTGAAAAGTTTCCCCTGCTGTGTGGGGGTCTTTAAGCAGGCCTTATCAGGTCCCTAGTGGCACACAAAGGCTCCTGAAATACAGGAAGTATGCTGGGTGGACCTTCAGTTCGCCCAGCGTGGCACTCAAAACTCCCTGGCTCCTTGAGATTGCTGGAAAGGATTCTACCAGGGTCTGAGTGATGTACCAAGACTCAACAGCTAGATGGAGTACTCTGTGCAGGGCTTTAGCTCATGCCACATGGCATACCAATGCTCCCTAGCTGTTTGGGGATGCTAGGTGGGGTTCCAATAGGTTTTAAGTGAGGCACTAAGATTGCACCACTAGGTGTAGTTTGCTGGGCAGGCCTTCCGCTCATGCCACTCAGCACAGGCTGTTTCCCTGTCACTCAGGGTCACTGGGCTGTGCCTAGCCAGGAACTGAGTGACGTACTGCAGGTCTCTAGCAGTTTGGGGTGCTGCAGTGGGGCCCTACCAGGTTCAGAGTGAGATGCCAAGCTTCCACAGCTAGATGGAGATCTCTATGCAGGCTTTTGGCTGGCACCACTTCTTTTATGTTTGTAAAACTACCATTGATGATTTTGCTTGTCTGGTTATACCTGAGAAGTGAGAATTTTGTAAGTTTCCATGAAAAAGGATTAGAGGTTGAGAACCACTGTACTAGAAAGGAAAACTTAGTTTGCTTTCTGTTCTACATGTACACTGAATATTCTAGCTCAACAACTGGTTTGAAAATAAGTTATCTAGAAACTTATTTCTGAATTCTTCCATTTTTTAAAGTGTTTCACTGAATGGCTACTGCTACCAATTTTAACAAGATCCATGTAGTCTTTCCCTAAACCACACATTTGTCCCAAGTGTCCAACTCACCAACCGCAGCCGTGATCTAAGTCTTGCAAATACATATTGCAATAACAAAGCAATGATCATCAAAGTACAGAAACTAAAAGCACTATTTCCAAATACTGTCACATCGAAGGAACTAAGGGATAGGTCTTCAACATTTGAATTTGGAAAAGACATAATTAAACTCATAATACTCATGAAATAAAAGAATTTAACACTTCCTTGACCTCTCTCAATTGGAATTATATCCTTATGGAACCACATCCACAATATTTTCTAGTTTACCCTCTCCATCAGGAAAACAGAGTGTGACTTTCTGGAAAAGAGTAGTCTACATAATTTTCAAACTCCATGGTGGATATATTTGTTAAGCTAAATGATCTCAGAATAATTTATAAATCTCTGAAATAAGATTGAGAAATACAGACTCTCCCAAGTAATATGGTGAAGAAAGAAAAATGTAAAATAATACTTCTGAGTTCATGGGAATTATATTTGAAATAATCTGAAAGAAGAAGTTGGGTTTAAAATTATCTGCCTCTTGAATTCCATAAGATTGTTTGTCTGGTCAGCATCTATTTCCACTTTGGGGTTCAGGATACATGCTCATCCTACAACAACTATCTTAATTGTTCCATCTTACTAAGTTATATATGTATTAGAATATCATACCCATACCCCTCACTTCAGTTTGAGTTCTTTGAACTCATACACTGCCTGTTATAAAGTACATTTATGATGCTCAATATATGAGAATTTTTCAATCACCTTTTGAAGATAAATTCCCTAACATTTCCTTCTAAGAATTGTGAGTTTTCTCATACTGCAGGAGTCCATCATTCCATTTACATGTGAAGTAATGGCAGGGACCCACCTTGAGGCTTGGACTTGGTCAGTTTGCCACAGGGCTTGGAGATGGTGACTGTCTTCTGGCAGTCAGCATTGTGGAGGGCTCGCTTCAGATTCCCAGTTCTAGTCTTCAGGGCCGTATTCAGGTCACATTCTCCCCAGGCCTGAAACTGGTATTTACACTCCGCTAGAGGCAGGAGAAGATCAAAGAGAAATTGTTGAGATAGCCAATTGTAGTACAGCTACAATAAAGGCATGATTTGTTGTTAACATTTATAGTTGGATAAGTATAGATTTCATGAAGTTATAAATAAAATGAGAGGTATTCCATACACTCTTCACACTCCACTCCCAGCCAGATGTGGTGTTTTGCACAGCTATTGTTCAATAGCATCACCATGAAATTGACACCAATACATTCTAAGAGTTTGCTGAGATGGCATCACTTTCATATGCATTCATTTGTGCATTAGAGTGTACATTTGGTTCTGCACAGGTTTGTCATATGTAAAAAGCATGTATTTGTCATCATGAGTACACAGAACCATCACAGCACAAGGAGCACAGGGGTTACCTTTTAAACCCCACTCTTTCTGCCTCTTTCATCCATGGCAACCAAGACACTGCTCTCCATCATCATAAAATATTTTACGAATGGAAGTGAACAGTATGTGAACTTTTGACATTAGCAGATTTTAATTTAGCATGATTTCCTGCAGATTCACCCAAATCAAGAGTATTAATAGTCATTTCTTTTATTTGTGAGGACTATTCCATAACATGGATATACCACAATTATTTTTAACTACATCTGGGTTATTTCTAGCTTTTGCCTATGACAAATAAACTACTATCTACACTCAAGTCTAGGTTTTTTATGGAAATAAAAGTTTTCATTTCTCTGAGACAAATGCCTAATAAAGTGCTGCATTGCTTAGTAAACTCATATTTAGTTTTGTAAAACACTGGCACAAATTTTTCTACTGTACTGTTTTATATTTCTTTTTTTTTTTTTTTTTCGGTTTTTCTTTTTTATCGGTACCGGGGATCGAACTCACGACTGCCTGCTTGCAAGGCAGGTGCTTATGCTGCTGAGCTAAATCCCCAGCCCCCTGTTTTACATTTCTAGCAATATCTGAGCAATGTGCGTTCTCTTTTGCATTTTATCACATTCCTGTCTACCCACTATGCTAGGCTTGTAGGAATCTTATTAGAGGTTTAATTTCCATTTACCTCTTGGGAAAAAGAAATTGAACACCCTTTTAGAAGTTTCAATGATAACAAACAGCTTGTTGTGATATGTGTGCCATAGGGTCACCACCATTGCTATAGACACTCTTTAGCAAAATATGTGTTATCTATTTTCTTACAGGATTTTTTTGCTGTTGAGTTTTGAAAATTATATATTTCAGACTTGAATATTTTAAGATACATCATAAAGATCTTATATAGGTGAATCTTGAAGATGCCCATATACAATGTAGGAACAAATGTGTCTAAACTTTACCGTAGCTTAATAACATTGTCTACCACTCAAAAATGTACCACAAAGATTACGTAGCACAGAAAGGATTCATGTGGGTATCCATAGCTCTGTTTTACTTGCTGGTAGGCCTTAATCCTCTTCTTTATAACAGAGGAACATCATTTGGGGCATAATGTCCCAGGATGGCCAAGAAAGGCAACAAGACCAGAATGTAGGAGAAAAGCTTATCTAGGAGTTTAATACTGATGTAAAGTTGGAAGTTGTGAGAGAACTTGTCTCCAGGAAGAAGATCTGGCCAGCATGAGACTGACAGAGGTCAGTGAGAGAGAAATCTCTCAAAAAAGGTCATAATCGAGCCTGTTGGTGTCAATAAGTAAATCCTCAAACATCTGTGGATGGTGGGGAGGGAACAAAAGAGTGACGCTGGAACATAACAGATAATGACAAAAATGAGAAAACTGGAAAGGAAAACATACAAAATTTAGAAAGAAAAGGGAGAAAACACAAACAAATGAACACTGTGGGGAGGAATTCCATGCATAGTTCACGCCCCTATAAGGTAGTGGTTCTCAATTCTGGATGGTTTTGACATTCAGGAGACACTTAGTCATGAATAACAGAAATATTTTTAGTGTTCACAACCAGTGTGGATGGGAGTGTTAGCAGACACTAACTTGCAGAATCAGGGATGGTGCCAATTATCCTACAGTGCATAAAACAGAACTCTATGTGGCCCAAAATGTCACCAGTGCTGAAGCTGGGAAACCTCAGGGTGAGGCACAGTGAGTGCCTGGTCACCTTCTGTCTGACAAAAAGAAACTATTTAAAATAAGTAGTATCGATTCCAAAAAGACTTGTGGTGGAAACACTGTGAAATTATCTCAGAGCAGTAGATTGAGTCAATAGAACGAGGTGAGACTTACCTCCAAATTGCTTCTTCCAGTTGCAGGGGATCTTACATCTCTGAGTCTTCATGGTTTGCTTGCACTCAGCTCCAGTGCGAGTGCCCTCCCGGGTGCCCAGTCCACAGTCGCCACTAGTGGGCACACACACACTCCACTGCCATTCCCCACAGTCCGACTTCTTCACTTTTTTTTCTAGAAGAAAGAAGCCAAAAATGACCAACATTTAGACCACTGTAATGCCTGGTTATGACCACACTCCTTCTCCAGTACCGTGATTGTAGGGTGTGTTTTTTACCTGGCTCCTCTCTGCCCAGTAAACAGTAGAGAGAAGGCAGAGACCAGTCAAATAACTGAATCAATAGCACATCAAGAGAATGGAGAAGGAAAACTAAGGAAAGAACCAGAACAAACAATAATTTAACTTTTATTTGGACTTAAACTGTTCTAAGTGACTTACTGACATCTCCTTATAGAATCATTTCTATTAAAAATATTCACAAATAATTCCATGTAAAAATGAGGAAACATTCTATCAGTAGGTACAATGAGATTAGCTCTCTCCATGTAAATTTAAAATTCTTTCTTTATCCTGAAACACATGTGAGAATATAATAGAAATCACAGACTTACACAGAATTCCAACTTCATAGACTAGGTGTGGCTGTGGGAAAGATATAGGATGCCTATCTATACATTTCTTCCTTTGTAAATCTAAGATTAAAAAAAAATCCTTGAATGACACGATTTGAGGAGAAGGGATAACATAAGCAGTTGGCAGTTAATCTAACAACTATCATTTCTAACAGAGTGTTTTCTTGCTATTTTAGGCTAAACTATTGTTAACTATCTTCTGTTAATAGAACCACCTGATTGTCAGTCAATGGTTTCTGTATAGTGGACTCTAACATGATTGCATTCCAGGACTTACAGTGGAGGAAAAAATAAGGCTGTATCTTGGGTTTCTCAAAATAATGAGAAGAATGGAAGGTTAAGGGGAGGAGGGAGTGATGAAAGGAGAGAGGAAAGAAGGAAAAAAGAAGGAAGGAGGATAGAGGGAGGGACGGAGAGAAGGATGGAGGGAAAGAGGGAAGGAAGGAAGGAAGGAAGGAAGGAAGGAAGGAAGGAAGGAAGGAAGGAAGGAAGGATTAAAAGTGGGTACTGGGATGGATAGGTACCAATTGTCAAAGCAACACTCCACAGCTGTGCTGCTTACCTGCTTTCTCTTTCTTCCCTGCCTCCACAGTGTCCACAGCTGCCAAAATGAAAATGAATGCCAAGAAGACAGCTGCAAGTTTCCAACGCTGCTGCTGGTATTGTTGGGACTGCATTCTAGGAATAAGCAGAAAAGAGAAGAAGATGATGTCAACCTAAGTCAGGGAGAAAGACTCACTGCCACTCCTAAATGAAAGGCCACTTTGTACTTTCAGAACACTGAGTTCCAGGAAGAGGGATATCAATTATGCTTAGCAAAGTATTATCTTTTCTCCTCAACAGCCACTGACATGAGTGCTTCTCTGCAGTCAGTCACATATTCACTGGCAAAATGCAAAAGTTTTTTCCACATAAGACTTCACAGTCATTTGGTAAGATTGGTTCTGGGATTATGGGAACAGAAGAAACCACAAAACATGTTTCTTGAGCAGGCTACTGCAGTAAGACTTGATGGAGTGTCAACTGGTAATACCCACAGCTAAAGCTATCTTCAGAATTCATAATTCCTAGAAACCACCATCCCATTCCCTGGGATGGAAATAATGTATGGGCATACAACGTGTCAATTATTTATTTTTAGCTGCATTAGTAATGACAAACTTGGTAGTTAATCATTTTCCATGATCATTTCTATCACCTTAGTCAATCACAGAGTAAACCCCAGAACAGAAGCAGAATTTACACACCCGTGTCACATAAACCAACCATGATTAGAAGCTCACATGTGCTCAGGGTCCTCTACCAGCTAACATTAGAAAGCCACCCCTACAACTTGAAAGTATGTGTGGTAACTTCACTATCAATGTGACCACTCTGCCAAATGTCCTTGAGAAACCTTTGTCTAAGCCTCAGGATACACAATTCCCAATAGATTTCCAAGTCACAGACTGTACCTCAGAAGTACCCAGAACCCACTGAAGATGACGTACTTACTTGGCAGAAGTGCAGAGCACACTATCTCCCATCAATAAGACACACACACACACACACACACACACACACACACACACACACACACCTGAGTTGTTAATAGATAGAAGCTCTTTGGCAAGGACTCATCTCAGCATGTTTAGTTTTGTGTTGCTAAACTCTTACTTTCAATATTAAAAAAAAAAGATTTATCTTACTCAAGTGACAACATTCATTTCAAGAAAAAATATACAACCTAGAATTTCCAAATCATACAAATTTTTGAGTTGAAGAGGGATCCACTAAACACATTGTGAAAACTGAGCTATCATCTGGGTAGCAAGAATGGAAGGTCAGAATGGGGTTGAGGTTGCAGAAACAGGAGAATGCAAGCTAGATTTATCTTCTGATATTAACTCAAACCATTAAACATTTAACAAGTAGATTAGTAGTGACTTTCAGCTCTTAAATATTCTCAGGAAAAGTGCACATAAACCCGTGTTTACAGTGAGTCACTTGTGTAAAATGTGTTGAGCAAGGGCTTTGGGCTGGACATCTTTCAAATTCAGCTCTCCTTCTCACCCCCTGCAACGCTGTCATTCTGCTTAAGAGTACATCTTAACAACTTAGATTTTCTGAGTAGAGAATAGGAATATAAAGCTTATTAAAAAGAGGAGAGTGATGAGATTCAGAAATGGAATAGCTCTATCCAAAAATTCAGGTGATACCAAAGTGTCCACAGCCTGCTGTAATAAATATCTGAATAATTAGTATACATGTGGATACCTTGATATACGTTCTCCTTGCTTGAGATATTTGCATCATCGATTGTTTATTTGTTCTTACCTTCATTGGAAAGCAAAAGCTCTTCATATAGTTTAGTATCATTTGTTTTCCAACAAAATGAGTGCCAGATGATTGTGAAGGCAAAAATATTTAACTGAAAATGTGATTAAGACAGTGTCATATTTTCTCACACTGAGGTCAAACAGTGAAGAACAAGAATAAAGAATCAGAGATAGGTAGGTAGATAAATGATCAAAGTATCCCACATTCTGGATTTTGATCATTGAACATTCGTCATGCAATTCAGCATTCTCCTCTCCCGTTGCACGTTGGCAGCTGCATGCAGAGGCTTATTAGATTCAGGAGCATCTCTTGGACAGGAATATAAGTGACATCATATTCTCTTGCCAGAGGCTGCATAATATTTGGTTCTCACTCTTTTATGATGCTAACAGCCACCGGTATGAGTTGAGAATGGATGTGAGTTGCAAAATGGTGATATTCAAATTCTATCCTCTTATTTTCATTGATTACTTGGATTAACACCATAAAGAGATGTTCCCCCTCTCACTAAATATTTTGTTATGCAATTTAACAATTTATAAAGAAATGTTGGATAAATGCTTGATTCTTTCCTTTTATTTCACTGACTTTCAAGATCAAGTTTTTTCCCTATTATTATTGAAATATGGACATTTACTTTTTTAATGTTATAAATTCAAGGATTTGTTCATATTTAATAGCTTCTAAAACATCCCATTTCTTATTTTTTATTAATTCTTCTTATGAAACCAGTGTAAGCTTCATTAGTTGGCTTTTGTATAAATATTTTTGTAATTATGATCTTTGTAATGTTTGATGAGGTCCTCGGAATCTAGGAGATTAAGTTCCCCTTGATCAATAGCACCTCAAATCTGAAATCAGCCATCTATAAAAAAAAATCCATGCTTGTCATTTTCATAATAAAAATATTTCAAATCCAGGCACTAAAATGCTCAGCCCTATTGAATTGATCATTTCCAGGTCATTTTTTGTGAGAGAGTTGAGGAAGGACATAGGGAATGGCAGAATTAACTAGCATAAAATTAATAATTTGCTTTTTCACATATTACACAAACAATAGTTTCAAAAGAATCTATGAATCTGAAAGACAGTTAGAATTAGTTTCCACTTGCTATCTCTTTTTTGCTCTGCTAAACTAGCTTGGTCTCTATGTCACCAGACATAACTATCATCTACTATGTCATCTGACTTTAAATACTCATTAACTTTGGTTATGAGAGAAACAATATTATTACTGCTGAATGTAGACAACACATTAACCCCTTTGCTCACTAGTTTTGAGCAATGTAGCATCCTAAGTGCAGGGCTTCTTTCTTTAAAGTATCTAAAATATGCTGCGCCGTTTTCTCTCATTAGCAAATGATTCTGTTGAAAAGATTGATAATAATGTAATTTCCCAGACTGATAGATACATAGATGCCTTGATTTAATTGATTTCTTTAAAGTACAATCATTCTGCAAATATATGGCTTGGTTTTGTTCATTTGACATCAATATTCTCAGATAATGATGGGCCCTTTTCCCCAAATTTTCAGTATTTGTCATTTTATCTCAAATCCTTTTTATGTATTATAATTTCAGAGAGAACTACTCATTTTATCTTCTATTAATTGTAAGGCATTACTTGTGATTATGCAATCCTCTGTTCCTTCTAATTTCAGTTTAATTTTAAGAAATTTTACTGTTTATTGATTCACTACTTATTTTCTTTATTTTTAATAGTTACTTGTAGGAAAATGGGTGCACCTTGAGACCATAATCTTAAATGACGTAAATCAGACACACAAGTCTAAACATTGCATTGTTTCTCTCATGCGAGAAGCCTAAAGAGTAAATGAGTAGCACAGTGGAAGATACATACTGGAAACTAGGAAGATGTTCAAGTAGAAAGGAAGGGAGAAGGAAAGGAAGGGGAAGGAAAATGGAAGGGAAGAGTGGAAGCAAAGCTTGTGTAAATAGTGGGGAGAGGAGGATGGCTTGAAGGGAGGAGAGGGAAATGAGACAAAAATAACTGACGTGTGATGTATACGTACAAATTCCATGTGGTGAATATGATTAATATTCATTAAAATATGTACTAATATAAAGGATAAAGTTCAAATGGTTACTCTGTATGATATTTGAAGTCAATACATTTGTCTTGTTCATTTTTTATGTTCAGATAGCTTTCCCACCTTCACACAGCTCCTTCCTCTGTCCTCTGACAGTTACAGTGACAGACATCTTTCTAAGATTCCCTGGTACTGTTTTCCTCTTCGCTTTCCCCTGGATTTTGTTTCTTTGGCTCTGATCCTCATGGCTTTTGATTTTATTCTCAGAATTTTATCCTCACAGGGTTCTTGTCCCAGAAGTGAGCTCTGAGAGGCCACTTGGCACTCTCGGGGCGGAGCCTTGCCTTAGGGTGCTCCTGGGGTTGCTCAGAGGCTCCCCTGTAGTCCACACTGTGACAGCTGTCATGACTTCCCTGTTCCTTCATTTATTCTGACTCCAACAAGTGCAGGTCTTTTCAGTGGGCTGTCCCCACTCACTTTTATCTCAGGTTTTGTGGGGAAGACTCTGTCTTGATTTTCACTTTAAATCTTTCCCGTAGAATTTGCTTTTGCTATCCATCAAGCTGCTTTCTCTATAAAAGGATTCAGAAGGTCCTCAAATTATCCACACAACTCCTTCCTTCCAAAGTTACATCATCATTTCACTGAATTGGGGCTAAGCCTAGGCTACCCGTGGGCCAGTGTTCTCAGGATACAGTAGTGTAAGCACTGGGATAAATATTTTGTTTATCTTAATGAATCTTTTTTTCCAATAAAATATACAGTGACAAAAATAGTGTAATTATAATAACCCCAATAAGAAGCACAAAATGTTATGAAGTCTGAGCAAATGAGGACTATTTTACATTTACTTTTCCTTGTTGTGAAATACACGTTAGGGCCAAAGATTTAATTTTTGATTTTTCTTTAATGTAATCAAAACATTTATGGACAGGAATTCTGGCATGGTGTATTATTAATTATTTTCCTGATTATTTTAGCTATAGAATCAGATATACTATATATATTTTATACCTATCAGAAATATTGATTTAATTTAAAGAAAATTGATCTTGTTTTATGTCAAGAAAATATTCATTTAGTTAACAAATGTATTTGTAGTACTTACTGTGTCAAGTACCTTTTAAAGGTATTTATATATATATTGACGTGCTAATATTAACTTATATTTGGATTGTCATCAGTAATGTATCAATTCACTCCATTATCCGAAAATATGTGTGCAAATGTGTAGCATTCTTATTGTGTAAACATTTGCAGGCAACAGAAGAACAGTAATTGAACAATATGGACATGATTTCTGACCTC